CAGAAAGGGTTTGTGTCATTGACGTTGAGTAAATGCATTTTCGATCATGTTTGTCTCACCCACCAACAAGTTGCCTTCAATCATTCAAAGGTGGGAAAGTTACAGAGATATAATATTATGTTGTTATATAAAACATCGTGCAGGGCAGACAGTCTGCAGCCCCGCAATGAAGGGACCCGACTTGGGCAAAGCTAATTAGGTGTGAGTCAAAATAAGACGCAGAGAGCGCCATTGAGAATAGCGTCCCACCAAACAACCATCGCAGAGACGCAATGCTGCAGAACGCAACAAGCATCAATACGACTATCGTCGGGCTTACACCATTCCAAGGTCCCCCATACATCTCAGCAAACATCACCACCCGCATACCTCCATCGACCAGAACCACAAGAGAGCGTCGAATCAGGCGCAGCATACCCGTAGATCCATCACAAGACGCAATACCTCAAGTAGCAGTAAGCATCAATGCAACTATCATACCGATGGCGCCCCCTCACAACACACGCACATGATCCCTATCGACTTTGGTAACAAAGTTGGTATTGTTGTTATATAAAAATATCACCAACGTATCATAGCAGCACGCTACTAAGACGCCAATGAACAAAACTCCACGTATCATAGCGCTAATGCACTAAGACATGAAGCTGAGTATGCCTGTTACACTTAAAAGTGCTACCAAACACACTCATCATCCCAATCCGAAATATAGACGACGCATCGCTATGCGCAACGACGCCGCCCACAACCGGTATGGGTGTGCGATGTCCACGGGAAAGCCGTATTGCTACAACAAACCCGCTTACCACCGGCACTAAGGTGTTAATTGTATGCCTCCATCGACCAGAACCACAAGAGAGCGTCGAATCAGGCGCAGCACACCCGCAGATCCGTCACAAGACGCAATACTGCAAGTAGCAGTAAGCATCAATACAAATATCATACGGGTGGCGCCCCCTCACAACACATTCACATGACTCCTATCGACTTTGGCAACAAAGTTAGTATTGTTGTTATATAAAAAATATCACCAACGTATCATAGTAGCACGCCACTAGGACGCCAATGAACAAAACTCCACGTATCATAGCGCTAATGCACTAAGACATGAAGCTGAGTATGCCGGTTACACTTAAAAGTGCCACCAAACACACTCATCATCCCCATCCGAAAGATAGACGACGCATCGCTACGCGCTACTACACCGCCCGCAAACGGTATGGGTGTGCGATGTCCACGGGAAAGCCGTATTGTTACAACAAACCCGCTTACCACCGGCACTAAGATATTAATTGTATACCTCCATCGACCAGAACCACAAGAATGCGTCGAATCAGGCGCAGCACACCCGCAGATCCATCACAAGACGCAATACCGCAAGTAGCAGTAAGCATCAATGCAACTATCATACGGATGGCGCCCCCTCACAACACACCCACATGACTCTTATCGATTTTGGTAACAAATTTTTTATTGTTGTTATATAAAAAATATCACCAACGTATCATAGTAGCACGCTACTAAGACGCCAGTGGACAAAACTCCACGTATCATAGCGCTAATGCACTAAGACATGAAGCTGAGTATGCCTGTTACACTTAAAAGTGCTACCAAACACACTCATCATCCCCATCCGAAAGATAGACGACACATCGCTATGCGCAACGACATCGCCCACAAACGGTATGAGTGTGCGATGTTCACGGGAAAGCCGTATTGCTACAACAAACCCGCTTACCACCGGCACTAAGATGATATGTCTAGGACACATCGGTTAGCGAGTCCAAGTTTACCTCGGACCAATTGCTCGTGAAGCAGCACACACGGCACCATAATATTCCTTTTCAAGTCCCTAATAAGGACTAGTCATTTTGCTACAGTACTAGGAGCAGTCAGTCACCCGACCACCCCATACAATGCTTATGCATCAAGGAGACCTCCTATAATATTGCTTTTGTATCATAGACCTTACTTTCATAAGTCATTCATATATAGGATTCGAACCCACGACCCTACTACTGTAATGCTTATTAATCATAGAGACCTTCTATAGTATTGCTTTTGTATCATAGACCTTACTTTCATAAGTCATTCATATATAGGATTCGAACCCACGACCCTACTATTGTAATGCATATTAATCATAGAGACCTTCTATAGTATTGCTTTTGTATCATAGACCTTACTTTCATAAGTCATTCATATATAGGATTCGAACCCACGACCCTACTATTTAATGCATATTAATCATAGAGACCTTCTATAGTATTGCTTTTGGATCATAGACCTTACTTTCATGTCATTAATATATAGGGTTCTAACCCACGACCCTACCATTGTAATGCAAATTCATCATGGAGACCTTCTTTAGTATTGCTTTTGTATCATTGAGTTTAATATCATAAGTCCCTAATATAGGACTAGTCATTGTGCTACAGTACTTCAGGCAGTCGGGCTCCCGACCACCCCATATATATGTACAACTGCAGGAATGTATCTCCGGCAGCTCCTCCATACAAGACGTCTATATATGAACACCTTCAATAACTTAGGAAAATTTTCTTTTATACGTGAACTCCTTCCACAACTTAGGAAATTTCTTTTATACGTGAAATCGTTCCACAACTTAGGAAAATTTTCTTTTATACATGAACAGCTCCCATGACTTTAACAATTTTTAACAAATTTTCTAATTATCTTATAAACGTTATTTAACTTTATTTTATAATATTTTTAACTTGTATTTCTATTATTTATCTTATTTTAAATATTTTTTCAAGTTTTTAAATAAATTTATTTATTACGAAAAACAATAATTTTGCTTTTAATTTACTATGTTATTGGGCTAATGTCTGAAATATATTAACTTTATGTTTATTAATTTAACTTAATTGCTTAATATATATCTTTTAAAACTATTTTTGACGCCCCTTTATATTGAATTTAATTATTAATAATAATATTGGGCCGTCAAAATATCAATGATATGTTGCAAACACCTAACATTCATTGCTATGCAGATGACAGCACTGGTGATGCACTGTACACCGGCCGTGCTAATATTTCTCGGGAATACGTCTCCGAGTATCGGGCCAAACTTGTATCTGAAGTCGAGTCTTTGCTGAACAGAGTCTTGGATTGGGGGCGACAAAATCTAGTCCAGTTTAACCCTCAGAAGACATAAGTTTAAGCGTTAACCGCTAAAAAGAACCCCTTTGTTGTATCTCCTCAGTTTTAAGGCACTCCCCTTGTTGTCTCAGCCAGTATCGGAATCTGCACCACCACCTGCAACTTTACAAGGCGTCGGTTCGGCCGCACATGGAATACTGTTCCATCTCTGGGCTGTACTGTCAGTACCAGCTCCTTCCACTTGACCGCATCCAGGGCAGAGCGGCTCTAATCGTCGATAACCGAGTGCTTTACGATCGGCTCGATTCACTGGCGCTGCGAAGAGATGTTGCAACTCTTTGCATTTTCTTTCGCGTATACTATGGGGAGTGATCTGAAGAATAGTCGGATTAATCCCAGCCGCCAAATTTCATGAACCCACTACGTGACAAAAGTCTCGATATCATACACACCATCTGGTTGCTTGACGGTTCACCACTGTACGTTTCACAAGGAGTTTTCTTCCGCGTACGACCTCTCTGTGGAATAGTTTACCACCGGCGATTTTTCCTGTCCGATACGACCTGGGGACCTTCAAGAAAAGAGCTTACTCATTTCTAAAGGGCCGTCAACGCACCTGCAATTCCCCTGGTGTTGCGGTTGATCATGGGCGGCGATAGTCACTTAACATCAGTTGAGCCACATGCTCGTTTGCCCCCTCTTCTCTAAAAAACACACACATTTCACCAGACAGTGGTCGGAAGTTCTCAAGAGTGAGATTACCTGAACATTGTTCCTATTTGGATTGGTCGTAAGCAAAAGGTCGAGGCAGTTTACTTTGTTTCCATCCACATCATGTACCTTAGTTGCCTATTGTACCAGTTGGGAGAGTCCAGTGACAAGGAAAAATTCCACGCCTTTCTCCTAGCGTAGTCGGTCTTCTGGTATGGGAACAGCCAGTCCTGACGACAGGCATTAAATTGCCTCAGAAAAACCAACTGTGTATTAGGGTACCGACTTAGAGCCACATTAGATTCTGTGTAATATTTGATAAACTTAAATCCAAATTCAAACACGCTTCTTTAGAACTTCAAATCTTCAAAAAAATATAGGAAAATTTCTGTGAATAAAATAGATCAAAACGAATTATCAAATTCAAAGATAGACCGCCGATTAGTCACGAATTTATAACTTTAAACACTTCAATATTTTTGCAGCATTGGATCAGCAACTCATTGGTTTCAATGTTTTTCTTTAAAAATGATGCAGATGATACCAATCGTCAATAATATATTTAATTAAACGAAACAAAGTTTTAATTGTACAACTTAATTATTTAACAGTTTCGTCACAATATATGTTATTAAATTTAATGAATACAGATTTCCATTCTTTACAACGAAATATTACTCACAAAATAGCAAAGAGAATGAAACCACTATTGGTTTTATAGTATACGCAACATTATAGCAAAAACAAGCTGCAAAATGCAGATATTATGCCTTTCTCTTTCATTTACAGTTATTCCCATTCCACTTTCAGTACAAGAGTTCATTCAGTTAGTTTCAGATGTTCCGTACAGTAGAGACGCGCAGAATGTTTGTAGATATTTCGGGAATGTGCTTGCGGACGGGTACAAAAAAAATGTTCAGCTTGGTTTTGTGAATGATGTTTTATTTGATTTTATTTAAATTAAATTGTAGTGATAATGTGTACCGAAAATTTCCCGTTCAGTATTACCAGGTTAGAATGTATTATATACCATGTAACTTAAACTGAGACTATTTTAAACCATTCACTGGTCTTCAAGCTTCAAAATCTATGACGAGGTTCAAACAAAACTTTACGTGAATTGTTTGATGTGAAAGTGAATTCAATATTTACCAAGAAAAATGACTGATGAGGGCAAAGCCAGTGTGGATTATGTAAATAACTTAAATTTGAGTTTAAACATTAATAAAACGCTGCAGTTTATAGAAGAACTGGATATACTATTTCAGCCTGAAGTCGTGCTTATTGGCTTATATGTACCGATATTAATATTGTCTCTTATAACTAACATTCTTCTCATAGTTGTGGCGGTTAAGTACAACTATACCAAAAGGTAAGCTTCGAGCCAATTTATGTACAAAATAAATCGAACGAATATTATTCAAATATGTATTTGAAATGTCTAAAATATTTAAAGGTAATCGTCTTTGATAATCCAAAATCTGGTAGACTGTTTAATATAAGGTATTCTGTGTAATAGATAAAATATAATCCCCGCGATACTTCGAGGAAACTCAATCACGCTACTGGGCTACCACTACCGCTACGTTATCATCAGATGCTGGTGATATAACCAGTTTTATTATTTTAAGACGTTAATTTTTTATCATTGTGTGTATGTGTGTGATCTTTTTTTATTATAACATGTGAGTGAAAAAAGAGCTCATAGTCCACCTGATAATAAGTGGTTGCTGTGGCCCATTGACATCTACATCTATCCTCGATAACAAATCAAAATGCAGATACATTATTACCAATGAGGTCTCAAATGTAATGCCTAGTTTCCAGTAAAATAGGTTTACAGTTCTCTACACTCACCATACTAAACACAGCAGCGTTGAGCTGCTATTTTACGCTAGTATTTTGTGAGGTTTATAATGTTTTGCTTAGATATTTGTTGCGTGTTTTCTATACTTTGCAAAAAATAGTTTTAGATTAGATTTAATTATAATATTCACTTTACTGTGATTCTGCATTAAGGTTGTAGAAAGGATTTAATTTATGGGACATTGGGTTTATAAAATCTGCAAAAATTAAAAATGATAAAACGTACATTCCGGTAGTTAAATTCGATTTATCCGGACCGATACGACGTCGGTACCTCCATGAAAAAAGCCTACTCCTTTTTAGAAGGCCAGCAACTTATCTGCAATTACCATAGTGTTGAAGTTGTTTATGGGTGGCGGTAGTCACTTACCATCTAGTTAGTAAGCAGCATGCTCGTTTGCCTCTCCTAAATTAAAAAACCATACATCACAGAAAGTTGAAAAGTTATTGCCGAAGCGAATTCTTTGCTGGCGTAATCAAATGAATTTCTTTTCTTAATTATTTCGTAAAAGTCCACTAATCAGCATCAACATTGGCTCCTTACAGGGTACCCCGAGACTGTACGACAAGCGAGTACGGCACTGTAGGCTAGGTTAAACCAGTTCCTGCAAAAATAAGGAAAATATCCCCGGCACTCGGTTAGCTGATGATAGGAATATTTTTTGTAAATGTAGAAAATCGACACTCTATACCACATCATTAGATCAGATACTGTGATCAAAAAAAATTTAATCAGTGTTTCCTTAAATTTAATTCTAAACAGCCTCGCTATTAATTGCAGCCGAAATCCAACAATTCATTGTCAGTTTAATAAAAAAATAGGTTTAAAATTTGATTGAGGCATGGTTAAAATATTTGTCAGCTGAGTTCATTCACACTTCATTTAAAAAAAAAGTATATAATCTTTTGTCACTTCCATGATTGACTTGATACTGGCAGAGATTCTGTTAGGGTAAGCCATAAAAGAAGAAAGAAGAAGAAGTACATACTGTTGTGGGGAAGATTTTCCATTATTTCGCCTCTCTTTACCGACGGCATGACGGTCGTAGTAGCAACGGTCTCGCTTTTGACGCTTTTTCCCCACGCCGTAAACAAAATATTTATACCGTTATCTACCCATGAAAAGTCCCCACAGCCACGAGACGAAGTAGGTTGGTGGATTCATTAAAGCTGTCACCAACACGGCTAAAACGTTCATCGAATTTCAAGGCTAAATGCCAAAAGCCCTTAAATTTAAAAACTTCGTGCCATAAATGTCAATGATTTGTCATTATTATTTATATTAATTTATTTAACGTTATGATTTCCTATATTTACGCGACTACTAGACATTAATGAAACTAACTTTACGGATTTCATCGCGTTTAATTTCAACTATTTAATTCCTGACCTTACCGGTACTTTACAGCATGCACGGTTACGGGAGACCTAGGTGTTTGATGTCTCGATGTCATAGCTAGCCCGGCTACCTTCAGCTTTTAAATCTTAATTTTTAGTCCGGTAAAGATACTGTAAGCTCGTACTACGTAGAATGTTTTTACTTTAACGTTTAAATTATATAAGGAAAACTGTTAATGAAATACCACTTATTATAAATTGCACATTTTCTGGCATATGAAAAAGAACTTTATCTAAATTTTACTTCTTCAATAGAATCAGGGTGACAAATAAGCACCAAGCCCATCTGGTGATGAGTGGATGTTGTGGCGCATAGGTGCATAGACCTACATCTATTCCCGATTAAGAATAAAAATGCGATTGCGTTGTCACCTCTGAAGACTAATATAGAATGCCTTCTCGTGTCCGTTTTCCCACACTGTTAGTGTACAAACACAGCAGCAATAAGCTTGTATTCCTTCAGAGTGTAGTTCTTTCCCGGTCGCGACGACTTATTTGTGCAGCAGCCGTAATATAGCAGTCTTTTTAGTTGCAAAGTTTTAAATCTACACGAAATTATCTATCATTATACTCAAGTCTGACACTGCGTCTAATCTGACCTCCAAACGAAATAAAATATTACGGAAGTTTAAAATCGTTGTACCATAACATAAGCTGCGTAACATGTTACTCACCACGCCGAGTTTGGGTTTATCTTTAAAATAGAGTAGAATAACATCATCATCGATATGTAGCGGAAGCGTAAAATAATCTAATTGACAAATGAAACAAGGTTTGCAGAATTTTCCTACCATCAACTGAAAATAATAAAAAGTGCTTTGGTTGACGAACGAAATAGTAAAGGTGAAATCCTTCCTTTAGTAATGAACGAATAAAAAAAATCAGTTCGAAGTTATTAATTTATTTTGAGAATAACGATTCTATAACACTAAATCATATCATACATTATATAATACACTAGCTTGCCAGACAGACGTTGTTCTGCACTTTTCGACGACCCTTTGCCATGTCCTACTAAAAATCCTTAAATTCGCAAAAAAAAGTTGTGGGTCACTCATCGGCAAACAAACTATCCTATCTCTCAAGTTGGACCAAAGTGCACACGGTGTGCAAATTTGATTAAAATCGGTTAAGTAGTTTAGGAGTCCATCGCGGACAAACAACGTGACACGTAATTTATATACATTAAGATAAGTTACTAAACTTATACGTAATTTGTAGACCATATTACGTTGATATACCATGTATAATGATATAATAAAATAAAAAGCCTTTTATTTTTGCATTTACTTTCACATTTCTTTTATTGGTGGTTAGTTTTATATTAAATTGCTTAACTTAGTATTCTATTTTATTAATTTAATTAGGATCAGCAAGAACCCCGTCTTCACAGGTTTAGGATTCCTCCAAAATTAACCAATTCTTTCGGTCTTGGGCTGCTTCTGTACAGGGTGCAATGTGGACCACGGTATTTTTAATTTACATTCGTCCCATTTTCTCATGGACCTTTCCTATGCCTCTTTTGCCGCGCGGTCCCTTCCTGATGTCATTCTTCTGGTCCAACGTTTATCTGGAAGTCGTGCTACATGGCCGGACCACTTCCACTGTAATTTTTCACACTTTGTAGAGCATGTTATCACTTTTTTATTTTTATATGCCTTATATTTTGTATGTTTGTATCGCAACGATGTACGGTATAATATACTTAATAATGTTTAAAAGATACTGGGTTTTTTGCTCTTCTGTAAAATTACTATTTTCATGTTACGTCTTTACTGTAGTAGGTAAGCGTTATATATCGTCATTACAGTTCTTCAAAAGTTCAATGCTGTATATAGGAGTATTAAAGTTAGCAGAAAACACGATCCCGAGCTATCGAATTTTGTCTGTGACAGCGTGGCCCTTTCACGGTTGAGTCGACCACCACGAATGGGTCGGCACAATTATAATATCTTGGCAGCGTACCTCTACCAAATTTAAAATAAATAACATGTATAAAATTTATCTATTGTATAATTATGAATAACTAGCGGGGCTTTGTGCTTTGTAGCAAAATGAAGTTTGCACTTGCCGTATCGCATTTTGATTTTGTTTATTTGTAAAAGAAATGGAAGACCTAGTTTATATGATAACGAAATGTTTTTAATTTTCAAATACAGTCTTTATCTTATTACAAATTTAAATAAAAATGTCTTAACAAAATGATTAATTCCCTTATTCTATTATGATTTTGGTGTGTCAATTTTAAATATATAAAATCAGAGAATAAATTATAATGATTAAAATTAAATAAAATTCACAAATGAATAATTATAACATAAACAACTTTTATGGAACACTAATGATAGAAAGTGATATTATAATTTACAGAGCTTACAGTTTGAAATATTAACTCAAGTAAACCCTGAAAGTTTTTAAAAAATTCGTTATTAAACGCTTAAATTGAAAAAAAAAAGTATTTATATTTTAATACAACTAGTAGTTTTATTATACATTATAATATACATGTCATAATTGTTGTTTAAATAACAAAAAAAGATTTGTCTTGGGTCGATATAACTTTTTTCTTTGTCTTTGCAGTAATGCATGGTGCGGTTGACAGCTTACAATTTAGCGTGCCTAGAGATGAAACAAACAGGTGTTTAACAATACATAAAGCAAACTAAAAATTATCGATTAGCTATCGAGAAAAAATTAAAACCGGAATATTTTTTTTTTCATAAATAAATTACAATTAATGTAAATTTTAGTTACAGATTAATTGTAAAAAATTGTATTAATTTGAAATAATTTAATACTATATTTCTTTATAAACTATAGTGCATGTAAAACTAAGTTAAATTTAAATACACATTATGGCATAATACCTGTTCCCGCGACATCACCCGCGTAGTAATAAATATTACGACTGGATTTCATGGGTTTCAATTTTTTTGCGCGGTATCCTGATACTTATTCTAAAATAAAAGTAGCCTTTGTTACTCTTTGTAACATTAACTATCTGCCAGTGCCAGCTATAAGCCGGAACAAACAGACAAACATTTTAAAAATTGTTTTTGTCTTTTGTTATAAATACCGTATATACTTACATAATATGTATTTAGTAAA